TGACCATATTTCACTCCGTATTCGCAAAGGTATTCTCCAACTACGTACTGCCAGAACCACCACAAGTTGTACGTTTAATACTAGAGACACCGAAACAAATTAATTAGCTAATTGTCACACTTTCAAAGCAAGCTTAATTGACCAATCGGTTGCCTTTTCTGCTATTGTTGAGCGAAATTTTGTCTTGCCAAGTTTACTTACTTACACATGCGTTATTGCGCATATACACACAATAACAATCGTGACTATGTATGCTGTAAGTCATTGTTTGCATTATTTCTTTAATGAATCATTTTTGAACACTTTTGTAAATGATCAAACTAACGATTCGAGTTGAATTCTGGCAAATTGCGGTTTTACTGACTGTTGGCGTTTCCGACGAGTAATTAGAAAATGAGACGAAACCCTATACTTTAATGTCTCGTAATATGCATACGATCTCATTTCCCCCAATTTAGCAAAGTACGAAACGATAAATGTTTTCATTCATCACACTTATGAAGAAAACTTGTCATACATAAAATGACGAACCAAACACATTCCCAGTTTTTTTTCAGAAAGAAATGAGGGTTTATTGTTCTTGGTGGATAATGACATGAGCCAGCCAAGTAGATATCCTACTCCAGTATGAATGGCTCCTGTCATGTCTCTTTCTCCATCATTTCGTTCGCTTTCAAGTCACGAATGCATAAATAAGTCAGATAAGAGAACTTGGGTGCGTGTGGTTAGTGATGAAAACCAGATAAGAGAAGCAAAGGGTAGAATTGGCAATTTTTGACAATCTTCATTTTTAATGCATGGTAGCATCATCAGTGCAATCAAAGTTTCCAACTATGGTGAAACTTTTGCTTTCACTTGTTTATGGTCCTCCCATACGTGTGTCCATGCGGCTCTGTTCTGCTCTCATGTGTGATGTGCATGTATGGTCAGCAACGGCCAGCACCACCCGTAAGTATCGTAATAATAAAGGGAGGAAGAGCGAGATAGGATGACACACGGTATTATCATGACAGGACAATTTTGTCACGAAACGAAATCCTCTTCGATTTTTTGTTCCACGCTAAGCCCCGTAATTGCATCGTATTGACAGGAATAGATCGGGTCGAAACTGAACTTTGGTAATGTGGCGGCCAGTCAACGAAGACTGATTCCGTGTCATAAAATTATTCACTTCCGTAATGAAGGTATAAATTGTAGCAAGTTGTAAAACAATTGTTGCCAATGTTCAAGTCCTCTCTTATTCTTCAAAAACTATTGCTAAATTAGTCGAGAAAAATACTTTCATGAAATTTTTCATGTTGTTGTCGTTCCTAACCGCATTAAGTAGCTGCCTCTGCTAAGAAAGCATAATATTTACATTAGGTTTGATTCAGAAGCACGAATAATTCTTATGATCCTTCTTGCGCAATAACACATAAGTATTTCAAATTTTTAATACCGAGCCCGTCCACCCGTTGCGAAAGGTTGCAGTTTAAACAAGTCACAATAAGTTGACCATGTGAAAAGATTGAAAAACTTTGCAAACAGATTTTTATAAGTAATCAAAACCTGGTCGGATAAAACGCGTGGCGACCTGAATATCCGAGGCTGCTTTGCCCGTAAAAGTTTTTTTGTGTGGCATATGTATGTATGACGTACATATTTTTAAACGATGCAATTTCCAGCAATAAACACCGTTAAATGTCATATTTATGGCATGAATGTGACAAAGCAGTTTACTTCTCCATTAGAATTTAAGAATGGCACTGTCTTTTTACTGGACTTCTTTTTTTATTAAAGCGGTTAAAGCCCAATGTTTGTCCACATGTAGCATAACGTAATGATGTAGCCAGTCGAATGAAATGAAAGAATGGAGCTGTTGAAAAAATGAAATGAGAAACGGAGAAAAGATGGTAAAATGCTCTAAAAAATTTACCATCCCTTAAAACGCCTGTCGTAAAAGTTGCGTAAATAAGACTTCCACTCGCTTTTTCGTTCACCAGTTCATTTCTTTCTCCACAAAAGCTTATATCTTATCTTTCGCATTATATTTTATTATTCGGTTTATACGGGGGTGGCATTAAATTAAACGTTTGAAAAACACAAAAAATTAGTAGTAGTTACATTTAATAGGTACTGTTCTACTTAATTTAAAAATAATTAATGGTTTATAAAACAAGGATTATGTGCCTCAAATGCATGCGACTGCTGTCGCTCCGTCTCCACTATCGTCGTTCTCATCGCCGGAGGACAACTCCTGGTCGAAGTGAGAGGGTAGAGTTGGTTCCTCCTCCTCTTCCTCCTCCTCCTCCTCCTCTACAGATGGAGAGGGGGCACCCTTCTTGCGGGCCATAAACGCGCGCCATAGCAACGTCGATTTGGCTGGAGTGGTCGTTGGTTGACCACCCCGTTTTCTAGGAGATCCACCAGCCAACTTGTGGGCCTTAGCAGCGCGCCATCGTATGGTCCGTGCGGATGGATTGGACGTTGTTTGACCACCTCGTATGCCGGTCAATTCACCAGCCCTATACTTGCGGCTTTTTACGGCGGCTGGATGCATAGATGCCCTCGCTCGAGTCCGAGGGGTCACTCTATTACTGATCAAAGCCACCAGCATTGCAGTACTTGGGCATTGACTATGAGCTACATTTACCTCATTGCCCCTCCCACAATGGATGCAAGCATTGGCCCTGAACCACATGGCACAACGATTGCGTGGAATCACATTACCCACCGCACCAATAGTGAGTATTAGATACCAAGGGTGATCTGATTGAATTGGGGGATTGTTCAATCGATCAACCCGGCTTTCAATGCCACGTGGTGTGCGAACCACTGCAAAATCTAACATGTTGTTGGCATGAAGTGGGTTTCCTGTCACGTGGGTTGGAGGATGAGTGACTGTCCCATCTGCACGGGTGACACCCAATTGCAGATAGGATTCTACCTGCATCCCAATATCAGCAAAACGGCGCTGGAATTGTCCATACATTGGGTCACTTGGGGAGATGTTCGTGTCCCCAATAGCCACCCATATGGTTTTCTCAGACGCGTCAAAAGGACTGAACTGCTCAAAATGGGTAGCAGTTGCATTGAGTTGCAATACTTTGTGCGCTCCTTTCGCTGAATTAGTACCAACTTGACCGGACTCATAATGTAATCCGACCAAATGGCAGGTGTAACCACTCCTAGTTAGAGTAGCAGCCACCTGCCTGTGATCATCTTCTTGCAATGCCGCATTGTGGACATTTGTTGGTGGTGTACAGGTCACACTCGGATCCGCAAAGATTGCTACGCCATGTGCACTTAATCTGGCTTGTCCTGGACATGGGCATGGAACATGGTGCAGATGCCAAGTGGGAAACACACTTCGTAGAAGTGTGTATTGTTTCAACCCACCTCTACCGTGGTGGGTTTCAGTCAGCACAATTACATTAAAGCTTGTGCTGGCTTGAATTGCACGAAGCTGGGCAGCTTTCGGAGCAGTCAACCCTTGTAGATTGATTGCACAAATTTTGAAAATAAAATTTACCATTGAAGTGGATTTGGAGCACAAATATAACCGCACAAAGCAGATACTTATTTAAAACCGCACAAAGCAGTTTTTTGATACCGCACAAAGCAGTTTTTTGATACCGCACAAAGCAGTTGTTTATTAATAACCGCACAAAGCAGTTCAGAATTACCAATGTGTAAGATAAATCTAAGAAAAGAACATATACATAAAATTAACTAAAAACTAAGCTGATGCGAAGGACGACGTCAAACGAGGATCCTAAAACAAAAACGATGATTAGTTGTAATTAATATAAATTCTTTGCTAACCTAGCTTTACTAATTAAATTGTTTAATATTTACCTTAACGGAATACACCCTGTTATGGCGAAGCATCAGTGCCGAACCGGAAACTGAAGTATGCCGTTCTGTTAAAGGAGGAAAAAATTCTTGGGGATTACTAGAATTTAGCTTTACTATGGTATGGGCCACCCTAGTGGGTCCCTTCCATTTTGGCTTCATATTCATAGTTTGTACTTCCATTGGGGCCGCCGTGCCTAATTTCACCCTTATACGATTAAATTTCTCAAATATCCCACATCAAAGCCCCCTACCACTATTTTGACCCCCTCCGGTCCAAATAATTTTTTATCGAATCCAAAAACTATACAGCACGTCACACTCCCAAAATACATTTTCCCACCAAAATTTGGTCGAAATCGGTCAACGCGTTCTAAAGTTATTGCAAAACAGACGGACGGACATGACGGGTACGCAAACCCTGGTTCGGGATAAAACTTGTAAAAAAAACTACATTGCTTACCTTCGAGGGGAAAAAAATGCGAAAAGTCGAAGAACAACGAAGGCCGTCGATCAACCTCGATAATAAGCCTAAGAAACCATTAATTTGTTCTTATGCTTTGCTAACCTGGCTTTACTTTTGCTTTAATCAATTGATTTCAAAACTTACCTGTGACACCACGAAAGAAGACCAACCTCTGACGACAGTGACAACGATGGGAGGAGATGATTTTGAACACTCTACAAAAATACACGAACTATTATTATTAATTACTGTTAGTGGCTAACCAATTAATTAATTGTTTATTAAATAAAAATTACCAAATTTATCTTTCGTGAGAGAAAAAAATCTACCCTGTATGATTGGAAAGAGAGAAATGAGTGAGCGAGCAACGTTTTCTGCGAGCGAGCAACAACCACCACCGCCACTGCTGTTGCTCGCTCACTCATTTCTCTCTTTCCAATCATACAGGGTAGATTTTTTTCTCTCACGAAAGATAAATTTGGTAATTTTTATTTAATAAACAATTAATTAATTGGTTAGCCACTAACAGTAATTAATAATAATAGTTCGTGTATTTTTGTAGAGTGTTCAAAATCATCTCCTCCCATCGTTGTCACTGTCGTCAGAGGTTGGTCTTCTTTCGTGGTGTCACAGGTAAGTTTTGAAATCAATTGATTAAAGCAAAAGTAAAGCCAGGTTAGCAAAGCATAAGAACAAATTAATGGTTTCTTAGGCTTATTATCGAGGTTGATCGACGGCCTTCGTTGTTCTTCGACTTTTCGCATTTTTTTCCCCTCGAAGGTAAGCAATGTAGTTTTTTACAACTTTTAAAGGTAGGTTACCAAATTTCATTATTATTATTATTTTTATTATTATTATTATCATTATTATTATCATTATTATTTTTGAATTTGCAGATGGGAAAGTATAACCACCGCGTCACGGTAAGTGGACTCCCATTTGGGAGTGCATTTACTCTGACTGTTCCAGGAGTTGGTGGTGGAAATCGTGGCGGCGGTGGAAGGCGTGGTGGTGGAAAAGGCGGTGGAAAACGTTCTTTAAACGCTAAAGTGCCAATTCAAAAAACAATTCAAGAGTTAGCAACGGTTCTCATATTTTACATTTTAATTTTATTATAGAAAAAAATAAGAAAAATCAGCGATGCTGGCGTTGCAAGGAGAAGGGACACTTCGGGAAGTAAGCGAATTCGTAATTTATTATGACAAACTTAAAATGCCATATCAACTTTCTCCATGAGGTCTAATTAATTTTTTGATTTCAGTGAATGCAATTATACAGAAGAAGAAGCTGCTGCCAAGAAGGCAGAGTTTTTCAAGAAGAAAGAAGAAAAAGCTGCTACTTCTACTTCTGCTGCCGCCTTCAAACCGCCATTTGCGGGGTGGAAACCAGGCTTCGTTATGCCGACCCCACCCACCAATCCCAATAATATTGAGATGAATTAATGTCTTAATTTCTTCCTATTGTATTAGATTCTCGAATATTTTACTTAGTTCGTTTTTTTACTAATAAATGAGACATTTTTTATTAAAACTTTACTGCCCTCACAAAAGCTAAAGAACGAGTGAGAAACAGACTCTGTTTTTCTTAGAAACTTGTTTATTGTTACAAATAACCATTCCCTGTACTGCTCGTTGGAGTTCCCAGCTGTGGGTCATGAAATAATTCCGTGGGCTCTTTTCAATTTGCAAGACAATTACAGTGATAATGAGAGCATGCTTAAATAATTTGCTTTCTCCTCCACGGATAATTCAACTTAATTCTCATCCAGAGTGCATATGGATTTGATATAGACGACCATGATGGAAGTTTAGGATTGGGGACCTAATTACCAACGACACTTACATTCCACATTGTGTTTTATAACATGGCCCAAGCCTGTCAGCTCATGGCCCAAGTGCTCATAAATTTTGATTATTTGTCTCAAACACAAAAGGAATTATATTACTTTGACAGACGTCTTAATAACGACACCTTTTGTTCAACTTTGAATTAAGTCTGACATAAATTGATCAGCCAATTTTAGGAATAGTTCAACCACCAGTCACAATCTTTAGTGGCCATATTCGTGTACGTCAAGTTTGGTTTTTGTAATAGCCATGATATCATTTACATAAAATCAAAATTTCACAAGCTTCCTGTCTGGCTGTGGCGAGACAACAACTAAATAAATGGGGACCAAAAGTACACCTCTTTTGGTCTGCATGTAAAACTGTTATCGCAACGATTTATTTTTATGACAACAGTTTTGGATACCCTGGATTAAAAACAGCCCTGGAATTTAGAACAAAAATAAAACTGTAAAATAAACGTTCAATTTGTTTGCAAGCTTTGTTTGCAAACGTTTTTCAAGAAATATTCAGGTAACCACACACAATTTCCAAATAAGTGCAAACAAACAGAAACCTAGCACCCTTGCAGTAAGTTGTATATAAAACAATCCAAGTTGTACATGCTGTTGCTTGGTTTGATTGTAAGCGGTGGTGAAGAGAGCTTGAAAAACCACAATGCGATAGGTTTTGTACTTAAATTTTATTTTTTGTTTGCACAGAACTACAGATTTTTTGAGCATATAATGGTCAAGTAAGTGGCTCCAGGTTTTCGTGGGCTGCTTTACCAATGCAACCATTCTCGCAATCTTTCATCAAAGTACGTTTAGCTCTTTGGTTTTGGCAGAGTTGAGAACAGGAGCGTTGGAGGTGCAAGAAAATTCCCCTCGTCGTCATAATTCGAGAGAAGTACGGCCGCCATCAGACGACGAGCGAGTCAAATGCTTATTGTGACTGAATCCAGAGACATAAGTGCTGGAATATGTAGTCAGATCACGTATGAATTTTGTTTCCGGTCCATGCACCTTCTGGCTTGAATTGAATATGTACAAAGAAACTTTACCATGACTTGATTCCATTTCATTGATATCAGATCATTTTCCCCGAATCCTGTCTCCAGAATACATAGAACTGAACTCTGGTCCTTGCCAACCATGGGATTTGATTGAGAAGCATGAATCACTTTCCTTCTAAAGTAATAAAATATAATGCACCACTCTATTTAGGTCGAAAGAGCTAAACAGTCGAATTTCGCTTGATATTAATACTTACCTACATACTTAATTCCATTATTATTATATTTCAAATTCAAACTAGTTCTGAATTCTAAATTCTGGGCAACAATTATCTGTCAATCATTTCTGCTTCGTGGTTTCAACTAAAGTTAGTCTACATGTAAAATAGGAATACGTATATTTCTATGTTGTATATTTCTGGGAAAATTTTTAATCCATTCGAGCACATGTTAAAATAAGGAATTAATTTAGACTATATTTTATTTTACCTATTGATTGACATTGTTTAACAGCAATGCGACAAATCTGGTGGTTAATTGCAAGTAAATAAAATGCGTTCAGTACGATACAATACAGTGTAGGCGTACAGTCAGTTCTGACTAGTTCAGAGTGACCCCATAGCGTGAGTATTTACGACCGGAGTACGTGTATTCATGACTAATTTCTCGGGCAATAACTTATCCAACAATCTGGTCGAAGACAGAGAAAGTCGTTATGAGCTCTAGGGATGGAAAGCATTAATTATGTTGTGAAAAATTAATGCATTTTCCGTTCATTTTCTTGTGTAATGACTTTCCCTTTCGTTCCCATGGTTCAAAGTCTGCTCGACCCGCAGCAGTGGCGAGGTCTTGCCCGCACTTAGGACGATTATGCATGAGATTAGATGTACTTGTACATAGTTTAGTTCTAGTTTAGTATGATGAAAATAACAGGCCAAGGAATATCCTTAATTTATGCCAAGGCGGATATATGCATGTATTTATAGCCAAGGTGGTTATAGATTGGGACTTTTTATGACGTCGTAATATTTTGATGGTTAAGAAAGGGCACATGGCGTGTGTTTTGAGCATCATTTGCTGTCTAATGATGGTGCATTCTTCAATGAAGATCGGATAAGCGATATAAGCTCCTTTGCTTTCTTTCACTTTTATGTACGATTTTAAAATCTAGTTACGACTCGTTTTTTCAATTGTAGGGATTTTCATTATGAAATAAGATTGGATTTCTAGTTGACGTAGATATATGCCCAAAGTGAGCATATACTTCCACCATGATTGAGAGAACATAAGAAACGAGGCGGCTTAGAATTTTCATAAATTTGAAAAGGACGAAAAGTGGTGGCAGAGTAGCACAAATGGTTTGTGAGTTTGGTGATTAGCCACAGAGAAGAAACTTTGTTGGTTGGTTGCAATAGCTTTCGGAGGAGAGTTTGTGGTCCTGAAATAACTTTTCTCAAGACGACCTGGCCCAGTTTCCATAAGACGCCAACACGAAGGGAAAGTGCTTAGGTAGTCGCTGGCTTTCTATTTACTTAGCAGGCGTAGCAGTGGGGAAAGTAAAGACTCATAATGGCCGCTCCTGCTTTCACTAACTAATGGAACCAATTTAGAAGTTTAATATAAAGAGATTTGTGCTCTTTGCCTACAATTTTCTCCTTGCTTTCCCACACTACTTATGAAATACTTGCAAAGAAGATGACGAGGTTCCTTCATTTACTTAGGTTGAACATGTATTTGCCGAGATTCTGGGTCAATGCAATTCGATATATTTGCTGCGCGATGATTTGCTTTTACAGCTTTTTTCAGGAAACGGAGATTTTTAGTTTTTCAACAACTTTTTTAAAAAGAATTGGTGTAATTGTCCTATCTGTACAGTACTATGTACTTATTATTACGTATATTTATATATATATGTATGTACATGGCATTAAAATACTCCCTATTTTGCATGTAGGTATTACAAATACCACAAGCAAATGTGCATACATACATAATAAAAAATATTATTGGAAAACCAACTATTGCCCGTGGAAATGCTCCAGTGAGAAATTTTCACTGAGAATTATGCATTTAAATGATTTCTCTTGAATCTCTCTTGGAGCTTTCTACTTTGGCAACATCAAAGCATAAAGTTGGTGGCTGATGGATATCACATAATGTTGAAACAGTTCATAAAATAAGAGAGGATTATTTTTAAGCAGATTTTCCCTGCCTGCAAAGTAGTCTTTAAGAAGCTTGTTCATCAAAATAGAAAGCAGAAAGGTTGGCTTGCATAATGCTTCATTATATGCTGCCGTAATCACGAGGAGAGGATTATACGTCCCACCGGTCACCGTCTTTTTCGTTTCATTGAATAATTAATTGCCTTCATCGGCTCACGGCATTCTGGAATTAGGAACTAATAGTTGGCCATGGTTCAACAACGCGATACGTCGTGGATACATATATACCTACGATTTTTCAATCATGTTTTAATTCAGAAATGTCAGTTGAAAACAATCCTATTAATGAAATTACTATTCTATTTCTGTTGTTCAAGAAACTACACGTACAAATATGTAGCAAATTAATATTTTGGGACACACAAGCAGCAACTTTTAGTATATTTAGTAGGAAATTAATACTTTAATGTACTATCGCCGTTGGGCCTGGTTGTGTCCTTTTATAAATAGTCTGACCACCCCGTGTGGTACAAGGATATTGTATTTTACAACGTAATATGTACACTATTATGTTTCTTGGACCTACATATGAATGAATGTAAATATGAATTCTGAATTAATAGCCGTTTTATTGATAGCTGATAATTGTTTTTCATGTTGGGTAGTCCTTGTTTTAGCACAAATTGAATTACTTATCAAAATAAGTCTGGGTAGGTTATGCAGTACTGGACAAAACAAAATCCTTTAATACACATACATAGATATTTGTATGTCCATATGTGAATGTGCATCTACTTACCAGGATGTCTTGGGATTAGATTCGGTTTGGCTAAGGTTTGACAAATCAGCACATTTTAATTTTAATAAATCATATCTAAAACAGCCATTTTTTATCACACTTATTGATTTCAATGAAATTCAAATTCAAAGTCATGAAGATATTATCTTAAACCTCGGAATTTAAACATGGATTTATAAACAAACAAATTGTTATACATTACTGGACATTATTTTGGTACTGTGCATTCAACTTATTTTCACACGTCTCTAACGTCTTTTTTTGTGACTCATCTAAAACCAAATTCGGCGATTTACATGTCAGTCTGCTCCGCATTTCACTCATTGGAAGGAATCAAATGCATACGCATATATTGTTGAGTTGAGGTGGAAGTGAAAATTTGGAAATGTTGGGTGTTCACCATAATACAATCATGTCTTTATTATTTATTGAAGAGAATGACGGGTAGAGTAGAGTGATCAAAGTATGGCAGGCGAGCCCGTGGCAGTGTCATGTCAATTTTTCTATGAAATCATAATGATATTCCTGCCTTCACATTGAGTGAAGGGAGTCCAGTTCAATTCATCGCACCGGCTTCAAGTAATGTAATGCTTTCATCAACCATGAATCAATAATATTCCGCAGTTTGATTCCCAGATAACCTTTCCGCTCTTACCTCCACACTCGTCGGGGCGCAGGTGTGGAGACTGCCAGTCAAAGAAGAATGCAAAGGAGAACAACATTACTTT